TCATTTAGCATCATTCAGTATCATTCAACATCATTCAACATCATTCAATATCATTCAACATCATTCAACATCATTCAGCATTATTTAGCATCATTCAGCATCATTTAGCATCATTTAGCATCATTCAGCATCATTTAGCATCATTCAGTGTCATTCAACATCATTCAGTATCATTCAGTATCATTCAGCATCAGTCAGTATCATTCAACATCATTCAACATCATTCACTATCATTCAACATCATTCAATATCATTCAGCTTCATTCAGTATCATTTAGCATCATTTAGCATCATTCAGCATCATTTAGCATCTTTCAGTATCATTCAACATCATTCAGTATCATTCAGTAACATTCAGCATCATTCAGTATCATTCAACATCATTCAACATCATTCACTATCATTCAACATCATTCAACATCATTCAGCATCATTTAGCATCATTCAGCATCATTTAGCATCATTCAGCATCATTTAGCATCATTCAACATCATTCAGCATCATTCAACATCATTCACCATCATTTAGCATCATTCAGCAGCATTTAGCATCATTTAGCATCATTCAGCATCATTTAGCATCATTCAGTATCATTCAACACCATTCAGCATCATTCAGCATCATTCAGCATCATTCAGCATCATTTAGCATCATTCAACATCATTCAGCATCATTCAGTATCATTCAGCATCATTTAGCATCATTCAGCATCACTTAGCATCATTCAGCATCATTTAGCATCATTCAACATCATTCAGCATCATTCAGTATCATCCAGCATCATTCAGCATCATTCAACATCATTCAGCATCATTCAGTATCATTCAGCATCATTTAGCATCATTCAGCATCATTTAGCATCATTCAGCATCATTTAGCATCATTCAGTATCATTCAACATCATTCAGCATCATTTAGCAACATTCAGTATCATTCAGCATCATTCCGTATCATTCAACATCATTCAACATCATTCAATATCATTCAACATCATTCAACATCATTCAACATCATTTAGCATCATTCAGCATCATTCAGTATCATTCAGCATCATTTAGCATCATTCAGCATCATTTAGCATCATTCAGCATCATTTAGCATCATTCAGTATCATTCAACATCATTCAACATCATTCAGCACCATTTAGCATCATTCAGTATCATTTAGCATCATTTAGCATCATTCAGCATCATTTAGCATCATTCAGTATCATTTAGCATCATTCAGTATCATTCAACATCATTCAACATCATTCAATATCATTCAACATCATTCAACATCATTCAACATCATTTAGCATCATTCAGCATCATTCAGTATCATTCAGCATCATTTACCATCATTCAGTATCATTCAACATCATTCAACATCATTCAGCATCATTTAGCATCATTCAGCATCATTTAGCATCATTCAGTATCATTCAACATCATTCAGTATCATTCAGTATCATTCAGCATCATTCAGTATCATTCAACATCATTCAACATCATTCACTATCATTCAACATCATTCAACATCATTCAGCATCATTTAGCATCATTCAGCATCATTTAGCATCATTCAGCATCATTTAGCATCATTCAACATCATTCAGCATCATTCAACATCATTCACCATCATTTAGCATCATTCAGCAGCATTTAGCATCATTTAGCATCATTGAGCATCATTTAGCATCATTCAGTATCATTCAACATCATTCAGCATCATTCAGCATCATTCAGCATCATTCAGCATCATTCAGCATCATTTAGCATCATTCAACATCATTCAGCATCATTCAGTATCATTCAGCATCATTTAGCATCATTGAGCATCATTTAGCATCATTCAGCATCATTTAGCATCATTCAGCATCATTTAGCATCATTCAGTATCATTCAGCATCATTTAGCATCATTCAGCATCATTCAACATCATTCAGCATCATTTACCATCATTCAGTATCATTCAGCATCATTTAGCATCATTTAGCATCATTCAACATCATTCAGCATCATTCAGTATCATTCAGCATCATTTAGCATCATTCAGCATCATTCAACATCATTCAGCATCATTTAGCATCATTCAGCATCATTTAGCATCATTCAGCATCAGTTAGCATCATTTAGCATATTCAGCATCAGTTAGCATCATTTAGCATCATTCAGCATCATTTAGCATCATTCAGCATCATTATCCATCATTCAGTATCATTCAACATCATTCAACATCATTCAGCATCATTTAGCATCATTCAGCATCATTTAGCATCATTCAGTATCATTTAGCATCATTTAGCATCATTCAGCATCATTTAGCATCATTCAACATCATTCAACATCATTCACCATCATTTAGCATCATTCAGCAGCATTTAGCATCATTTAGCATCATTCAGCATCATTTAGCATCATTCAGTATTATTCAACATCATTCAGTATCATTCAGTATTATTCAGCATCATTCAGTATCATTCAACATCATTCAACATCATTCGCTATCATTCAACATCATTCAACATCATTCAGCTTCATTCAGCATCATTTAGCATCATTTAGCATCATTTAGCATCATTCAGTATCATTCAACATCATTCAGCATCATTTAGCAAGATTCAGTATCATTCAGCATCATTCCGTATCATTCAACATCATTCAACATCATTCAATATCATTCAACATCATTCAACATCATTCAACATCATTTAGCATCATTCAGCATCATTCAGCATCATTTAGCATCATTTAGCATCATTCAGCATCATTTAGCATCATTCAGTGTCATTCAACATCATTCAGTATCATTCAGTATCATTCAGCATCATTCAGAATCATTCAACATCATTCAACATCATTCACTATCATTCAACATCATTCAACATCATTCAGCTTCATTCAGTATCATTTAGCATCATTTAGCATCATTCAGCATCATTTAGCATCTTTCAGTATCATTCAACATCATTCAGTATCATTCAGTAACATTCAGCATCATTCAGTATCATTCAACATCATTCAACATCATTCACTATCATTCAACATCATTCAACATCATTCAGCATCATTTAGCATCATTCAGCATCATTTAGCATCATTCAGCATCATTTAGTATCATTCAACATCATTCAGCATTATTCAACATCATTCACCATCATTTAGCATCATTCAGCAGCATTTAGCATCATTTAGCATCATTCAGCATCATTTAGCATCATTCAGTATCATTCAACACCATTCAGCATCATTCAGCATCATTCAGCATCATTCAGCATCATTTAGCATCATTCAACATCATTCAGCATCATTCAGTATCATTCAGCATCATTTAGCATCATTGAGCATCATTTAGCATCATTCAGCATCATTTAGCATCATTCAACATCATTCAGCATCATTCAGTATCATTCAGCATCATTTAGCATCATTCAGCATCATTCAACATCATTCAGCATCATTCAGTATCATTCAGCATCATTCAGCATCATTCAGCATCATTTAGCATCATTCAGCATCATTCAGCATCATTTAGCATCATTCAGCATCATTTAGCATCATTCAGTATCATTCAACATCATTCAGCATCATTTAGCAACATTCAGTATCATTCAGCATCATTCCGTATCATTCAACATCATTCAACATCATTCAATATCATTCAACATCATTCAACATCATTCAACATCATTTAGCATCATTCAGCATCATTCAGTATCATTCAGCATCATTTAGCATCATTCAGCATCATTTAGCATCATTCAGCATCATTTACCATCATTCAGTATCATTCAACATCATTCCACATCATTCAGCATCATTTAGCATCATTCAGCATCATTTAGCATCATTTAGCATCATTCAGTATCATTTAGCATCATTCAGTATCATTTAGCATCATTCAGTATCATTCAACATCATTCAACATCATTAAATATCATTCAACATCATTCAACATCATTCAACATCATTTAGCATCATTCAGCATCATTCAGTATCATTCAGCATCATTTACCATCATTCAGTATCATTCAACATCATTCAACATCATTGAGCATCATTCAGCATCATTCAGCATCATTCAGCATCATTCAACATCATTCAGCATCATTCAGTATCATTCAGCATCATTTAGCATCATTCAGCATCACTTAGCATCATTCAGCATCATTTAGCATCATTCAACATCATTCAGCATCATTCAGTATCATCCAGCATCATTTAGCATCATTCAGCATCATTCAACATCATTCAGCATCATTTAGCATCATTCAGTATCATTTAGCATCATTCAGTATCATGCAACATCATTCAACATCATTCAATATCATTCAACATCATACAACATCATTCAACATCATTTAGCATCATTCAGCATCATTCAGTATCATTCAGCATCATTTAGCATCATTCAGCATCATTTAGTATCATTCAGCATCATTTACCATCATTTAGCATCATTCAGCATCATTCAACATCATTCAGCATCATTTGGCATCATTCAGCATCATTTAGCATCATTTAGCATCATTCAGCATCATTTAGCATCATTCAGTATCATTTAGCATCATTTAGCATCATTCAGCATCATTTAGCATCATTCAGTATCATTCAATATCATTCAACATCATTCAACATCATTTAGCATCATTCAGCATCATTTACCATCATTTAGCATCATTCAGTATCATTTAGCATCATTTAGCATCATTCAGCATCATTTAGCATCATTCAGTATCATTCAATATCATTCAACATCATTCAACATCATTTAGCATCATTCAACATCATTTACCATCATTCAGTATCATTCAACATCATTCAACATCATTCAGCATCATTTAGCATCATTCAGCATCATTTAGCATCATTTAGCATCATTCAGCATCATTTAGCATCATTCAGTGTCATTCAACATCATTCAGTATCATTCAGTATCATTCAGCATCATTCAGTATCATTCCACATCATTCAACATCATTCACTATCATTCAACATCATTCAACATCATTCAGCTTCATTCAGCATCATTTAGCATCATTTAGCATCATTCAGCATCATTTAGCATCATTCAGTATCATTCAACATCATTCAGTATCATTCAGTATCATTCAGCATCATTCAGTATCATTCAACATCATTCAACATCATTCACTATCATTCAACATCATTCAACATCATTCAGCATCATTCAGCATCATTCAGCATCATTTAGCATCATTCAGCATCATTTAGCATCATTCAACATCATTCAGCATCATTCAACATCATTCACCACCATTTAGCATCATTCAGCATCATTTAGCATCATTTAGCATCATTCAGCATCATTTAGCATCATTCAGTATCATTCAACATCATTCAGTATCATTCAGTATCATTCAGCATCATTCAGTATCATTCAACATCATTCAACATCATTCACTATCATTCAACATCATTCAACATCATTCAGCTTCATTCAGCATCATTTAGCATCATTTAGCATCATTCAGCATCATTTAGCATCATTCAGTATCATTCAACATCATTCAACATCATTCAATATCATTCAACATCATTCAACATCATTGAACATCATTTAGCATCATTCAGCATCATTTAGCATCATTCAGCATCATTCAGTATCATTCACCATCATTTAGCATCATTCAGCATCATTCAACATCATTCAGCATCATTTAGCATCATTCAGTATCATTTAGCGTCATTCAGTATCATGCAACATCATTCAACATCATTCACTCTCATTCAACATCATTCAGTATCATTCAGTATCATTCAGCATCATTCAGTATCATGCAACATCATTCAACATCATTCAATATCATTCAACATCATACAACATCATTCAACATCATTTAGCATCATTCAGCATCATTCAGTATCATTCAGCATCATTTAGCATCATTCAGCATCATTTAGCATCATTCAGCATCATTTACCATCATTTAGCATCATTCAGCATCATTCAACATCATTCAGCATCATTTGGCATCATTCAGCATCATTTAGCATCATTTAGCATCATTCAGCATCATTTAGCATCATTCAGTATCATTTAGCATCATTTAGCATCATTCAGCATCATTTAGCATCATTCAGTATCATTCAATATCATTCAACATCATTCAACATCATTTAGCATCATTCAGCATCATTTACCATCATTTAGCATCATTCAGTATCATTTAGCATCATTTAGCATCATTCAGCATCATTTAGCATCATTCAGTATCATTCAATATCATTCAACATCATTCAACATCATTTAGCATCATTCAACATCATTTACCATCATTCAGTATCATTCAACATCATTCAACATCATTCAGCATCATTTAGCATCATTCAGCATCATTTAGCATCATTTAGCATCATTCAGCATCATTTAGCATCATTCAGTGTCATTCAACATCATTCAGTATCATTCAGTATCATTCAGCATCATTCAGTATCATTCCACATCATTCAACATCATTCACTATCAATCAACATCATTCAACATCATTCAGCTTCATTCAGCATCATTTAGCATCATTTAGCATCATTCAGCATCATTTAGCATCATTCAGTATCATTCAACATCATTCAGTATCATTCAGTATCATTCAGCATCATTCAGTATCATTCAACATCATTCAACATCATTCACTATCATTCACTATCATTCAACATCATTCAACATCATTCAGCATCATTTAGCATCATTCAGCATCATTTAGCATCATTCAGCATCATTTAGCATCATTCAACATCATTCAGCATCATTCAACATCATTCACCACCATTTAGCATCATTCAGCATCATTTAGCATCATTTAGCATCATTCAGCATTATTTAGCATCATTCAGTATCATTCAACATCATTCAGTATCATTCAGTATCATTCAGCATCATTCAACATCATTCGCTATCATTCAAAATCATTCAACATCATTCAGCTTCATTCAGCATCATTTAGCATCATTTAGCATCATTCAGCATCATTTAGCATCATTCAGTATCATTCAACATCATTCAACATCATTCAATATCATTCAACATCATTCAACATCATTGAACATTATTTAGCATCATTCAGCATCATTTAGCATCATTCAGCATCATTCAGTATCATTCACCATCATTTAGCATCATTCAGCATCATTCAACATCATTCAGCATCATTTAGCATCATTCAGTATCATTTAGCATCATTCAGTATCATGCAACATCATTCAACATCATTCACTATCATTCAACATCATTCAACATCATTCGGCATCATTTAGCATCATTCAGCATCATTTAGCATCATTCAGCATCATTTAGCATCATTCAACATCATTCAGCATCATTCAACATCATTCACCGTCATTTAGCATCATTCAGCAGCATTTAGCATCATTTAGCATCATTCAGCATCATTTAGCATCATTTAGCATCATTCAGTATCATTCAAAATCATTCAACATCATTCAATATCATTCAACATCATTCAACATCATTCAACATCATTTAGCATCATTCAGCATCATTCAGTATCATTCAGTATCATTTACCATCATTCAGTATCATACAACATCATTCAACATCATTGAGCATCATTTAGCATCATTGAGCATCATTTAGCATCATTCAGTATCATTCAACATCATTCAGTATCATTCAGTATCATTCAGCATCATTCAGTATCATTCAACATCATTCAACATCATTCAAAATCATTCAACATCATTCAACATCATTCAACATCATTCAGCATCATTTAGCATCATTCAGCATCATTTAGCATCATTTAGCATCATTCAGCATCATTTAGCATCATTCAGTATCATTTAGCATCATTTAGTATCATTCAACATCATTCAACATCATTCAATATCATTCAACATCATTCAACATCATTCAGCATCATTTAGCATCATTCAGCATCATTTAGCATCATTTAGCATCATTTAGCATCATTCAGCATCATTTAGCATCATTTAGCATCATTGAGCATCATTTAGCATCATTCAGTATCATTCAACATCATTCAGTATCATTCAGCATCATTCAGCATCATTCAGTATCATTCAACATCATTCAACATCATTCAACCATCATTCAACATCATTCAGCATCATTCAGCATCATTCAGCATCATTTAGCATCATTCAGCATCATTTAGCATCATTCAGCATCATTCAGCATCATTTAGCATCATTCAGCATCATTTAGCATCATTCAGTATCATTCAGCATCATTCAACATCATTCAGTATCATTTACATCATTCACATCATTCAGCATCATTTAGCATCATTCAGCATCATTTAGCATCATTTAGCATCATTCAGCATCATTTAGCATCATTCAATATCATTCAACATCATTCAGTATCATTCAACATCATTCCGTATCATTCAACATCATTCAACATCATTCAATATCAATCAACATCATTCAACATCATTCAACATCATTTAGCATCATTCAGCATCATTCAGTATCATTCAGCATCATTTAGCATCATTCAGCATCATTTATTGTGCACCTGTTTCGCTTGGGGAGCAACGGATCCTGATAAAGTAAGTTTTTATCTATTTATTCATGTGAAAATTACGTAGTTCCACGAGGGGTGCAACGGAATCCGTTTTCTAAGCATCTTTTGGATGCTCATCCCACGGCCTAAGAGTATATTTTTGATTTTCGTCCTTTTGAAAATACAGTATTATTCTAACTGCGCGTATAAATCAATAAAGACCGAACGCCATTAATAAAAAAGACATGAATGGAGCTTGACGGCCACAAGAACAAAGCATGTAAGTCATTGAAATGATTTATCAATTGTTTATTGTGAATTTGTGTTGCAACCATTGGTTGCAACTGAACTGACTATCAAGATTATTCTTTAAAACACGAGTATTATAA